ATCATCATCATCTTCTTCTTCATATAATCTTTTAACTTCTGTACTGGAACTTGACGCTCATTAGGCACAGTTGATGATTGCGACTTTCTAAGCCTTTAGTGTTTTTGACATCCTTATTATGAGGCAAGAATAATGGTATGCAATATCCAGGGAAGTCGACAACATTTCGGATAAACTTAAGTTTATTGAAATGTTACAATCCGGTCATGCGACCATTTTATTCTGGTTACAATATGTGCTTTTGTAATGACTCCAATCCCCAATTTAACACGAATTCTTCTGAAAGCAATTATTTATGGCACGGGTCGAGTAAGCAGAGAAGTTGCCCCGTAACGTGGGTAGATCACCTTTTCGTGGTACGTTACGGGATGTAAGATCTACCACCGATTCCTAGTTCTGACTAATTCAAACTAGGGGAACAGGATTTTTCAGTAATCCAAGGAACACATCTTAGTCCTTGTTACTTTTTATGCCTTGTTGATAGTGACAAGACTCGGTTTTGCCTACCGGGGATGATCTTGAAACAAGGCAAAAAAATGAGTTAGTTGTCTTCATCTATGTGATTCCTAATCTTCTCTTCGTTGTTCCCTAGTTTGAAGTGGTTAAGACTAGGGTTCTGTTGCATGGTCATTATCGGTGTCATACCTTAATTTTGTTGCTAAGGAATCCAATTTTGACTGACAAAGGGGCGCGCCTTTGGAGGGTGTTTCAACACTCCGAAGGGTATAAATAGCGGGACCTTTCAATTGGGTTCTTTAGGGGTATTGAGGTAATTGCATATTCGTAATCTGCATTACAAATGGAATCGAAATCCAAAATTTCATCAATTTTGGAGCACTGGAACTAATTTAAATAAGTGTGATTACATAAGCAAAAATCAACATCTTAGCGCCCCTCGATGGTACTTCGTATGGGAACGAGCTGTTAGTTTGTTAGTTTAGTGTCAAACAGTGAAGTGATTATTTTGCTCTTAATCTTGATTTAAAAATTGAGATGGAAGTAAATGGGATCGAAAAAAATATCATTGTGCTCAGAAAACGACGCCCTTTCAGATGATGTATGAAAACCAACATATTTTTCAAAATTAAAGAACCCAATTAGAGTCGGATCCTTGCGATAAATGCAAGAGTGGCAACTGTAAAAAATCGAATACTTCGTCATTTCTCAATAGTGATGGAGTAATACGACATGCACTAAACTAAGGACACGGGATATACTACAATAGATCAATTGGGTTCTTTAAGGGTATTGAGGTTAATGCACATTCGTAATCTGCATTGAAAATGGAACCCAAACCCAAAATTTCATCAATTTTGGTACACTGGAAATATTTTAAATAAATACGATTACATTTGCAAAAATCACCTAATTAGCTCCCCTCGGTGTCACTTTGTATGGGAGCGAGCTGTCAGTTTGTCAGTTTAGTGTCAAACAGTGCAGTTATTATTTTGCTTTAAATCTTGATTTAAAAATCGAGATGAAAGTGTGTGGGTTTGAAAAAAATATCGCTGTGCTCAGAAAACGAAGCTCTTTCAGATCATATATAAAAACCGATATATTTTTCAAAATTAAAGAACCCAATTTACTGGTCGCAGTAGTGTTAGGTCCCGAACAGAGGAAAAAAAAAAAGCAGAGAAGTTGGCATAATGTCTCAAACTTCTGCAAATTCCAAATTAAACCTATTAAAATCAATTGCATTTGAAATGCTTATGCAGTAACTATATTGATCTGTTATTTAACTGTCATAATAATAGGATTGTCGTGTTCAGTTGCCTTCGGCAGGTGTCGAGCAACTCCATTTTTCATTATAGGAGGTTAAAGGGGAATTCCACGATTATTTTGATTCAGATATTCTGTGAGGAGATCAATGATTCTTTGGATTCTTCCATCAGAATTTTGATAACGGAATTATGAGGAGAATTTAAAGAGAATTCTGAAAAAATATGAGTCTAGTTTTGACGTAGTTTTGATAGCAAATCAATGAAATTTGAATATGAGGATTGCTTGAAGGGAATCATGAGAAAAAATTTCATATAAGGAGAATATCTAAGAATTGTTGGGAGCATTCCTGGGAAATTCTTAGGAGGATCCCAAGTGACCTGTGGCGTATTACTTAAAAAATGCCGAAGAGAGTCTTTAATAATCACTTTACAGTATGATAATGGTAGGTTGATAGTACTAGTCAAATTAATAGTGATGTCCGAAGTTTTTAATTATTATGAGTAACACTGATGATGATTAACATTCACGTGCTGTTACATCAAATTATTCATCATTCTATAAATGTCAGTTGCGTTACTCTTGATGATCAATAGGCATTAATTATTTCTTATTTATGTGTCGCTCAAAGTGTTGCAAAGCTCTGATTTCAAATAAATTTGAGAGTAGAGAAAAAGGAGAATTTAGGAATTAACCATTGGTTATAATAATAGTTAAATTTAAGATTCAATAGTTAGATTACAATTGACGCACGCCTTGATTAAAGCAGATAGTTCGATCTGCAAGAGAAATAGTATTGTGATTTGGAAATGGCTTCACTCTTCGCGTTGATCTGTTCGGGTTTCCTATTAGGCCAGGTTCAGACAGGGCAAGTCAATTCATCAACTCACTTGAATTCAATTAGATTGAAAAGTTGAGCCTGGTTCATCTTTTTTTTTATTCAAGTCAGTTGCTGTTCGGGTTTTCAATTGAGCGGAGCAAGTAGAACGAAAAGCACGACAAACGTTCGGCAAACATATCGGAATCAGGTGCACGGTAAGAAAAAAGTACCCAACGGCCAGTTCACTTTTACCTACTTTTGACTAGTTTGTCTCCTTTTCTCCTTCTAATGTTGTCAAAAACGGAGGAGCAAAACCACCCAACAGGGGTAGTAATTTGTGGGAACCCAACGTTGAGTATAATCATATTTACCTACTGTTGGGTACAACTAACCTACTTTTGCGTTGAAAGCTAGTGGAAAATTCCACACGAATTGCACACAAGTAAATGAAAACTACTTTGACCCGCTTTACCTACTTTTGGGTTCCTGCACTATAGTGCCGAGATGAGTGAAAAGAACTTACTTTTCTAACCGTGTGGGTAGGAAAACCACGAATGAGCAATGGGCCGAGTTCCGCGTCTTTGATGAGGGGCAGTGATGCCATATATACAAATTTATTTGTAACCATACAGATTTTTTTTCAACATTTTGATACAGATATCTGTGTCTACAGATTACAGATTTTTGAAAAACATACAGATTTTTCAAATAAGAAGAATATAAATTATAAATTTTTTCTTCTATTTATAAATAATAAATAAATATAATCTGATAAATAATTGTTTCTTACTTTTTAAAAGCATGAATTCAATCTGTGAGCATCAATCTCAAAACGTATTTTTCACTGAATAAAATATGATTGTATAATATTCGAATGGGCTTGAAATCTTTTGAATGGACTTTTGATGTTCAGATGTTCTGATATCTGGTTAGAAGGGATACTAGTTTCCCTTTCTTTATGTTTAATCAACTATGTCATATGGTTACGGATACAATATTTAATTAATTAGACGTCAAGGAAGTCCACGAAAAGGCAGGATTCCTCATTCGGCATTGGATGTCGAACTCTTTTGAGGTGCTCCAGCGGATTGGAGAGCAGAACACGAAGTCGGTGAAGAGCTTCACCATGGACAAGGGCAGCAACCTGGAACGAGTTTTAGGGATGGTATGGCGACCACAAGAGGACGACTTCGTATTCTCAATGACTCTCCGAGATGATCTGGAAAGTCTACTGGATGGATCCGTTGTACCAACCAAACTCCAGCTCCTGAGCCTAGTCATGAGCATTTTTGACCCGTTAGGGAGGGTCGCTCCTTTCGTGGTGCATGGCAAGACGATAGTCCAGGATGTGTGGAGATCCCGAATTGGCTAGGACGAGCCACTACCTGCGGATATCGTATCACGGTGGGAGCAGTATGCCAAACTACTTGGAACATTGGATATGGTGAAGATACCCAGATGCTACTTTCCAGGATACAATCCTGGAGCCTACGATTCGTTTGAATTGCACGTTTTCGTGGATGCTAGCAGCACTGCATTTGCTGCCGCAGCCTACTTTCGGATTGTGGACAGTGGAAAAGTACGCTTTAGTCTGGTGTGTGCAAGAACCAAGGTAGCGCCGATCAAATTGCTGTCAGTACCACGGTTAGAGCTGCAAGCAGCTGTGATTGGAACACGGCTCATGAAGTCTGTCATTTCGAGTCACAGTTTGCAGATCAAGCGCAAAGTATTGTGGAGAGATTCTTCAACGGTTCTGAACTGGCTACGGTCAGATCCGCGGAACTATAAGCAGTTTGTAGCGTTTCGGCTAACAGAGATCCTGGATGAAACGGAAATCAGCGATTGGAGGAAGGTGCCAACCAGGATGAACGTTGCTGATGAAGCCACCAAATGGGGACATGGCCCATGCTTCGATGAACACAGCAGGTGGTTCAAGGGTCCACAATTCCTGTATAAACCGGAGTGTGACTGACCAGAGGATGCGAGCGAGCCGACTACAGCGGAAGAATTAAGGGTGGTCCATGTGCACCAGCAGCTATCGACGCAGCCGGTCATCGAATTCTAACGCTTTTCGAAGTGGGAAAGGTTGACCCGTACAGTGGCATTCGTTCTACGATTTGGCTGCAAGCATATTTGTCGAGACGAATCAAAACAGGACGGAGAAGTAACCCCGAGTAGTGTGAACAGTGAGGAGTGGAAACAAGCGGGGCCTCCCTTAGCTCAGTCGGTAAAGGCGCAGCTACCAAGCAAGGCCATGCTGGAGGTGGCTGCGTTCGATTCCCGGGCCGGTTCAGGAATTTTTCGAGTTGGAAAATGTCTCGACTTCCCTGGGCCTAGAAGTATGATTGGACTTGCCACACAATCATATCAATGCAAAAATGGTACAGGCATCGAAAGCTCTCGATTAAAAACTGTGGAAGTGCATCTTGAACACTAAGTTTAGAGCACGCAATAAGCTAATATGCGATATGCAATAAGCTTGAAATGCGAAGAAGAAGAAGAAGAAGAAGAAGAAGAAGAAGAAGGAAACAAGCGGAGTCAGCTGATCCAAGTGAGCGAGTATCCGGAGGAATGCAGCATTCTTCACAGAAATCATGAAGTGCAGCCAGAAGAACGTAGACGAATCCAGAAGAGCAGTCGAGTCTTCAAATTATCCCCGTTTGTGGACTCATCTGGAGTCATGAGAATGGGATCCCGCATCGCTGGCGCGGAGTGCGCTTCGTACGAAAGCAAGTTTCCCGTGATTTTGCCTAAGGATCACTACGTCACTCAACTGGTGATCAACTGGTATCACAGGAAGTACGGACACGCCAATAATGAAACGCTGGTGAACGAGATTCGGCTGAAGTTTCACATTTCCGAACTGCAAACAGCCGTCAAGAAAGTGGCAAGTGGCTGCTACTGGTGCAGAGTATACAAATCCAAACCACAAGTACCACCAATGGCTCCTCTGCCTTCTGCTCGTCTCACGCCGTATGTCAGGGCCTTCACCTTTACGGGACTGGATTATTTCGGGCCGATCACTGTTCGCTTTGGACGTGGTGGAGTCAAACGGTGGGTAGCGCTCTTTACCTGCTTAGGAACTCGAGCAGTCCACTTGGAAGTCGCCTACAGTCTGTCTTCTGAATCCTACAAGATGGCAATACGTAGATTCATCGCCCGCCGAGGTGCGCCACAGGAAATTTACTCTGATCAAGAAACCAACTTCCAAGGGGCTAGCGCAGAGTTAAGGCAGCAGATCGGCGCCATAAATCGGGATCTAGCAGGGACGTTCAAAAACGCAGAAACCGAATGGAAGCTAAACCCTCCGTACGCTCCACATATGGGAGGCATATGGGAAAGGCTGGTACGCTCGGTCAAGACAGGTCTAGCGCACATGGAGTTGCCGAGGATTCCGGATGAGGAGACTTTGATAACGGCTCTTGGTGGAATCTATAGTGAACTCGCGTCCCTTAACCTATCTACCGATCGACAGCGAGGAATGCGCAGCTTTAACACCGAACCACTTTCTATTGTTGAGTTTGAGTGGAGTGGTCCAGCCAGCGGTGTGGCCAATTGAGGAGTGTGCGGTACTGCGATCGAACTGGAAGCATGTTCAGGTTATGCTGGATAGGTTTTGGATGCGATGGATTCGAGAAACTCCCGACAGCCGAAATGGTTTGGAGAGGCGACACGTATCAACGTCGGAGATCTGGTCATCATTGTAAACGAGGGCGTCAGGAACAGTTGTTTTTTTTTCTTTATTATAGAGATTTTTAGCCATAGGCTAGTTCATCTCTTCCAGGAACAGTTGGATAAGAGGCAGAATCACTCGAGTTTATCCTGGACGTGATGGACGAGTTCGCAGCGCGGATGTACAGACCTCTGCTGGTATCATGCATCGACCGGCGACTAAGCTCGCTGTCCTAGATGTTACCAGAAAAGGAGGTACAGCTTAAGGGCACTTGAAGCAGTACAGGTGGGAGCATGTTGGCAACACAGATTAGCTCGTTCAGTACCACCCTCACAAAGGCAGGTGAAATGAGTGCCGTGTAAAATGTTTACTCCGGTAGTCAAATCGGTAAACAAGTCATTTTAGTAAACCCAGAGAATTTTCCGTTGGAAGCAGATTTGTCTCTCACTGCAACTGGATCATAATGTTTTGTATTTTCTGAATTGTAGAAAAGATAAAAAAATCACTTAAGAAATCAAGATTATAGGATTTCGTGATTTAAAAAAAAATGACAAATTCTTTATAAAGCAAACTTTAGCCATTTTTCAAGATTCTAAACATTAAACAAACTCCTTCTGAAGATTCAGTTAACTCCACACTGAGACCATAATAAATAAATTACAGTACCCGTTAGATTTTGGCATGGTTCGATTTTGGCATGGTTCGATTTTGGCAACAACACCACAAAACCGTTCGTTTTTGGCACGGGGTTCGATTTTAGCACCATGCCAAAATCGAATGGATTTTGAAAATAATGTACTTTTGTTCCATGTGATTACAATTTTCAATAAAAGAATAATTATTAATAACGTCTATGTAATAAAGATGACTCACGGTGGTTCATAATCATCGAAATCCTAAATAAAACTTAATTTTCGAGCTTGTTGCCAAAATACAGATTTTTAGCAGTCAGATACAGATTAAAAAGATTTTTTGCGATGAAAATACAGATTGAAAATTAATAAAACGTGGCAACACTGATTTTAAAATCTTAGTTTTTTTTTTAATTTGGGAATTAAATTGCTTAAATTTAGACTCTCAAACTTGAAGAAATATGGAGTTTAAAAAAATGCCTCCCTCAATTTCGAAACGATTGATCAAATCAAATAGGAAACAGGTATCATTTTCATGGATTGCCAATGGCACAGAAAAGCCTCACTTTGACGCTGAACATAAGATCCATTTATCTATGTATTGTGAGCGTATTGAATGTGATAGAAAATGTGGACGTAAATCAATGATACCAAATTTAATCATACCCGGATTAAATCCGATAGCAATATCCGTGATCCGGATTACTCCGAATTGAATCCGGATTACTCCGGATTGAATCCGGATTACTCCGGATTGAATCCGGATTGAAATTTCCGGTCCACAGTGCTCAAACGGTTCCAAATCGGGTTTTGATTAGCCTCCCAAAGTATGAAGTCATTGAATAAGAAACTGACGTGGCTCAAACCATTTGAAGTTTGTATGGAAAACACTATGTGTTTTTGTTTGTTTATATATTAAAGTTCTCTAAACCTCCAGACCTCCAGAAAATTATTAGAACATTTCTGAAATTTTTGAGAGTTGCTGCACCTAATTAAATACTCGAAGCAACCCTGAAAAAGTTAAAACTGAAATTCACGGAACTTCCTGAAGCTCGTGGTGCTTTCCTTAATTAATAGAATAAAATTTACAGATCTTAGTACCACTTAGTATCCTCTCCCAAAAACTTCAGATCTTTAAACTTCCCCGAAAGTTTGTTCTTTCCTGAAGTTTTTGGAACTGCCCTTAAGATGTCTGGATTCCCTAGAGATCTCTAGAGCTTCCACAATTCTTCTACAGTTCTGCAGAATTCTCAGATGATTTCTGGATATCCCTGAAGTCGTAGAACTCCTTGAAAGATACTGATATTTTCTTCGGAGTATTTTTCTTCTCGGAACTTTTTCCTTCCTCCCTTTTGAAGCGTTCTAAATATTCCGACGTTTTCTGAATCTCCAGTGAAGTTTCTGAAATTTTCTTAAGTTCTCTAAACTTCCGTGATGTTCCCAAGCTTTAGGTTCTCACTGGTTTTCTGAATTCAATGGAACTGTCCTAAGGTTCTCGAAATTTGTCTGGAGTTCTCTTATCTTCCATTAAGATCTTATAACTCAACTTAAGTTTTGGTAACTACTGTTAAGTTTCTGAAATTTTTCTGTAGGTAATGTGCTGCCCTGAAGCACTTTGACCTTCCGCTGACAGAAAACTTGCTCGTACTTCTGGATGCTCTTGAAGTTTTCGGAGCTACCCTTAAGTTATCGAAACTTCTTTTAAATTCTTAAACATTTGAATAAATTCTCATTCCTGAAGGTTCCCGCAATTTTTCTGACGTTGATGGGACTCCCCATTGAAGTTTGTTCTTGAAAAATCTGTAAAGTTCCTGCATTTTGCTGTAAGTTAATTGAACGGTCCTTAAGTTCTAGATTTTTTCCGGAACTTCCTTAAAGTTTATTGAAGCTAACAGTACTGTCGCGAAGTTTTCTGTTCTCCTCCATGTTAGTTCACGAAATTTTCCAAAAGTTCATGTAGTTTCAGAAGATCTCAAAGTTCTGAAAATTTCTGTAGTTCTCGGAACTTGCCTAAAGCAACTTACTTACTTACTTTCCTGGTCCGACATCGCTCAGGATTGCACCTGCATTACAATGTTACGCCAATTCACTCGGTCCGTGGCTGCTTGTCTCCAATTTCTTGACCGTCCCACACTTCCAAGATCCTGTTCCACTTGGTCTAACCACCTTGCTCGCTGTGCTCCTCTTCGTCTTGTACCGGCCGGATTCGAAGCAAACACCATTTTTGCGGGATTGTTGTCCGGCATTCTTAAAACGTGTCCCGCCCATCGTACTCGTCCAGCTTTCGCAACTTTCTGGATACAGGGTTCGCCATAGAATTGCGCCAACTCGTGGTTCATCCTTCAACAATGTCCACGTCGTCAGCGAAGCAGATGAACTGGCTGGACTTATTGAAGATCGTGCCCCGCATGTTAAAGCCCGCCCGTTTCATAACACCTTCTAGCGCAATGTTGAATAGGAGGCAGGAAAGACCATCGCCTTGTCGAAGTCCTTTGCGAGTTTCAAACGAGTCCGATATCGCACCCGATATCTGCACGCAGCACTGTACACCATCCATCGTAGCCTTGATCAGTCAGGTCAGCTTCCCGGGAAAACTGTTCTCGTCCATAATCTTCGATAGCTCTTCACGGTCAATAGTATCATAAGCAACATTGAAATAGATGAATAGGTGGTGCGTAGGGATTTGACATTCACGACACTTTTGGAGGATCTGCCGCAACGTAAAGATTTAGTCCGTTATCAATCGCCCGTCCACAAAACCGGCTTGATAACTTCCCACAAATCTTCTTGCTAGCGGCGATAAACGACGAAAGATGATCTGGGAAAGCACTTTGTAAGCTGCGTTAAGAATAGTGATCACTTGATAGTTCTCACATTCTAATTTGTCGCCTTTTTTATATACTGGGCATATTACTCCCTCTTTCCATTTTAACTTTATCAGCTGTTTAGTTGTTCTTAAGCTGTCGGATAGCATCCATAACTTCACTTGTCGTGGGAGCTGGCATGTCCCCCTCATCCGCTGTACCGACGAAGCCATTCCTCCTTCCGCCTTGGTTCTCCGGCTCTGCGCCGTTCAGATGTTCATCGCAGTGCTGCTTCCACCTTTCAATCACCTCACGTTCGTCCGTTAAGATACCCCCTTCCTTATCCCGACACATTTCGGCGTGCGGCACAAAGCCTTGGTGGGATGCGTTGAGTTTCTTGTAGAACTTGCGTGTTTCTTGAGAACGATACAGCTGCTCCATTTCTTCGCACTCCAGCTCTTCCAGGCGGAGCTTCTTATCCCGGAAAAGATGGGTTTGCTGTCTTCGCTTCTGTTTATATCGCTCTACATTATGACGGGTTCCTTGCTGCAGCATCGCCGACCGCGCTGCGTTCTTCTCGTCTAAAACCGTCTGACACTCTTCGTCGAACCAATCGTTCCGTCGATTCCGCTCCACGAACCCAACGGTGCCTTCAGCAGCGCTGTTAATGGCTGCTTTCACGTTGCTCCAGCAGTCCTCAAGAGGGGCTTCGGTGAGCTCTCCCTCATCCGGCAACGCTGCGTCGAGGGATTGCACGTAGGGCAGCTTCAGTCACTCCAGATTGTACCGTGGCGGGTGTCGGTACCGAATGTTGTTGACAACGGAAAGTTTTTGGCGCACCTTGACCATTAGAAGGTAGTGGTCTGAATCGATATTTGCGCCGCGATAGGTCCTGACGTCGATAATGTTCGAGAAGTGCCTTTCGTCGATCAAAACATGGTCGATTTGCGATTCTGTCTGCTGCGGTGATCTCCAGGTGTACCGATATGGTACTACGCATGGCCATGTTCTTAGTTTGGCGAAATCGATGAGTCTGAGGTCGTTGGCGTTCGCTAGCTGGTGAGCGCTGAACTTTCCTATAACCAGTCTGAATTCCTCCTCCTGGTCGACCTGAGCGTTAAGATCACCGATGACGATTTTGACGTCATGACTTGGGCAGCTGTCGTATTCCCGTTCCAGCTGCGCGTAAAAAACGGCTATATCGTCATCGTTACTTGCTAAGTGAGGGCTGTGCACGTGCACGTGCCCTATACGTATTTACCGACGATCCCTTCCAGCAAACCTCCTGCAGCGCTACGATGTCGAACTTGCGAACCCTCAATAAATCGGAAAGAATGCGGGTACTTCCCAAGAAATTGAGAGACTTGCAGTTCCATGTTCCGAGTTTCCAATAGTTAGTCCGTTTCCGATGCTTGGGTCTATGCCGATTGTTCCTGTCCGTATTTACATT